CCTTTTCCTATTGGCCTCAGTTGCTTTAAGGCATCTCTTAAAGATGATTAAAGTTTATTGGTCTTGTAGAAAATGTTGTGAGAATTCAAGTAAAACCACTCATCTGTCTCAGACTTTCCTCTTCTATGCAGAAGCCCAAACAGGGCTCATAATTTATTAAATATGTGTAATGAAATATCATGACAAGCCTTTCTGCATATGCTGTCACAAGTATCTTGATTTGTGAGGTCCCACTGACACCCCTTACCTGTGACTTATGCTGGGACTGTAGAATTAAGACTAGCTGGAACTCACTAGTTATTAATGAATATTTCAACCCAATATCTGTTCTCATCCAGTTATTCACTCACTAATTTCTTCTATTTTTAAAAACAATTAAGTTATTTTAATTAAGTGAAATGGAACTCTATGTCTAAAAAGTTTAGAATAATATTTATCGAATTTTTATAGTAGTTATTTCCTGGAATACAAGGGAAGGAAATTAAGATACTAGAGTTCTTAAAAAGTTCGTTCACATTTTACTTTGTGCATTTCTATAAAAGAGAAAGGAATATTAAATGAAGATGGTAGAAACCATGACCTTGAGATTTAAAAAAATTCTATTCTATTATTCGCTTTCAAGTTTTCAAAAGGACTCTGTTTATTTGACAATCTATAAAATAAAATAACATTTCAGTACATTTTAGTAGTTCATATGCCATATTATAAATAATCCACTCTTTCCATAGCTTCCCCGGGCCCAAAGATTTCCTGAATCTTACCAGAATGAACTGGATACTCTTGTGATGGTCCTGTGTGACCACGTGATTTGGAAATACAAGGATGCACTTGAAGAAACAAAGAGAGCGAACCACAGCGCTGCCAGATTTCTTAAGGTATAGTTACATGAGGCCACAGTTCTGTTTAAGCCAGCATGACAGTGGTGCAAGATATTCTGTTAGTTTATTCACATGTCTATTTGTGATGAAGAACCAAAACTAGCATGATGGGATGGATATTTTCATGTCTACGTCTTTCCAGCTTGAAACACTTTTTAATACTTTATTTGATTTGGCAAGAAAAGGCAAGGTTAGATAAAATATCCATTTAAGTGTTGTCATGTCATAATACTTCTAAATATTTTGAAATGTTTAAAAGAGAAACTGTATTGTGGCAATATTGCTCTCTTGGGCATAATCACCACTTTGGGAAACCCTCTGAGAATTTATCACTTTTGTTGTATTACTTCCAGGCTTTACATGATGAAATGATTATGCCCTGGATCATATAGAAAGCAAATTATCAATTTAATTATTAAGTACCACTTTATAAACTGGATGTACATGGAAATTAGTTGTATTTCTTTGGGGTATAGTCATTTATGTTGAATTGAGAAGGAAAAAGTACAAAATCAAAAAAAAGCTAACGTGCATTTAAATTATGGTTATATCATTTAACAGATAATACTAAAGTTAAAAGGATATTGGAATAGATTAGCCTAAGTTGTCTTTATGGAGCTTTAATGCAGCCTAAATTCTTTTTTAATGTGCTAAAAATGATTTCAAATTATATACTATATTTGTTTTTATCCTGAATTTTTCTTTTTCAGTGCTTCACCTCTTAGTTTTTCTTATTCCTTGCTCCCAGTAAAAGAAAAGAATGATTGTGCTA